GGTTAGGGGTCAGTAAAGGTGAGTATAACCTCAGAGTCATCCAAAAAAAAGAATCACTGCTCTAACTCATTCTTTTGTGCATGCAAATTTCATCTTGTGCTACTGAGCTCTGTAAACTGCCTGTGAAAGCAAAAAAAATAATAAAATGCAATATTATTAACCTGACTAGAAAAAATAAAAATATGTTTAAAATACTATTTTTGGGCTGGACATTGTAAAACTCACCTGTTCTATGCTCCAGCATAGGAGTCTTTTCCCTGTACAAGGCCATTGGGGTGCAGCCAATCAGCAGCCACCAAAACCCTCACCCACTCTGTGGTCAGGCTCTGTCTTAAAGGGCTGGTGTATGTGTTGCTTGGGGTTTCAGCAACTCGTCTTCACACTAGCTGCTGTGTCCTCAGTGTTATCTAGTGACTTCCTGAGCGTGACTCCAGTGATCTGCTATGACCCCTGTGTATTGCCAGTGTCACCACTGTTCCTGACTCCAGCATTCCCCTGTGTATACCAGCCTGCAACATGAACCTGTGTGATTCCCCTAATGTTCCTACCAGCAACCTATTACTTGTCGGTATTTGTGATTCTCTGAGGACTCCAGCCTGTATGCAGATTCCCTTCACGTATGTCTCCCATAGCCGGATCTAGGAGGGTGCTGAGGTGGGGTATGCCCCCCCCCCAGATTTAAGTTGTCCCCCCCCCCCAAAGCCACCTCCCCACCCCAACACTCTGCCTGCCCGCTGAACCACAGTGACCTCTGTCCTCCGCCCTGCCAGCATGACCTCTCTTCTCTGCCCTGCCAGCAGTGACCCCTTTCCTCTGCCTTGCCAGAAGTAACCTCTGTCCTCTGACCTACCAGCAGTGACCCCTGTCCTCTGGCCTACCAGCAGTGACCCCTGCCCTCTGGCCTACCAGCAGTGACCTCTGCCCTCTGGCCTACCAGCAGTGACCCCTGTCCTCAAGTTCCCTTTTCTGGCAGACATAAAAGCCAGTATCGAATATAGGGTATCTTTATCCTTTGTCTAAGGCTGGCTATACAATATACAATTTTCCTTTACCAAAAACAATATAATATGAGGTCAAACCTAAACAACAATTTAAATTTGTATTCAATCAAGCAGGTCCTTGCACTACATAGTTGAAGGTAAATCTAAAGGAAATTGTACAGAAATTGTACAACAATATTGTATAATGTATGGCTAGCTTGGAGTGGAGTGTTTTGAAGATGTAAAAAAAAATGCTAACAAAAAACCTTTACTTAAAGTGTTACTAAACCCAGGACCCTGCATTCACTATATCTGGTCTCCCCGGACTCTGCATTCACTATATCCAGTCTCCCCCCGGACCCTGCATTCACTATATCTGGTCTCCTCGGACCCCGCATTCACTATATCTGGTCTCCCCGGATCCTGCATTCACTATATCTGGTCTCCTCGGACCCTGCATTCACTATATCTGGTCTCCCCGGGACCCTGCATTCACTATATCTGGTCTCCCAGGGCCCTGCTTTCACTATATCCGGTCTCCCCGGACCCTGCATTCACTATACCTGATCTCCCCGGACCCTGCATTCACTATATCCGGTCTCCCAGGATCCTGCATCCACTATATCTGGTCTCCCAGGACCCTGCATTCACTATATCTGGTCTCCCAGGACCCTGCATTCACTATATCTGGTCTCCCCGGACCCTGCATTCACTATATCTGGTCTCCCCGGACCCTGCATTCACTATATCTGGTCTCCCCGGACCCTGCATTCACTATATCTGGTCCCCCCGGATCCTGCAGTCACTATATCTGGTCTCTCAGGGCCCTGCATTCACTATATCTGGTCTCCCCAGATCTTTGCATTCACATATCTGGTCTCCCCGGACCCTGCATTCACTATATCTTGTCTCCCTGGACCCTGCATTCACTATATCTTGTCTCCCTGCATTCACTATAACTGGTCTCCCTGGACCCTGCATTCACTATATCTGGTCTCCCCGGACCCTGCATTCACTATATCTTGTCTCCTCGGACCCTGCATTCACTATATCTGGTCTCCCCGGACCCTGCATTCACTATATCTGGTCTCCCAGGACCCTGCATTCACTATATCTGGTCTCCCCGGATCCTGCAGTCACTATATCTGGTCTCTCAGAGCCCTGCATTCACTATATCTGGTCTCCCCAGATCCTGCATTCACTATATTTAGTCTCCCCGGACCCTGCATTCACTATATCTGGTCTCCCAGGACCCTGCATTCACTATATCCGGTCTCCCTGGACCCTGCATTCACTATATCTGTTCTCCCTGGACCCTGCATTCACTAAACCTGGTCTCCCTGGACCCTGCATTCACTATATCTGGTCTCCGTAGACCCTGCATTCACTATATCTGGTCTCCCCGGACACTCCATTCACTATATCTGGTCTCCCCGGACCCTGCATTCACTATATTTGGTCTCCCCGGACCCTCCATTCACTATATCTGGTCTCCCCGGACCCTGCATTCACTATATCTGGTCTCTCAGGATCCTGCATTCACTATATCTGGTTTCCCCAGACCCTGCATTCACTATATCTGGTCTCCCCGGACCGTGCATTCACTATATCTGGTCTCCCACAGTACACACAGCATGGAAATGCTATTATTTTAGTAGTAAAATATAAACTAAATACCTTTTCTCATCAACAGTTAGAGCAGTCTTGTGACTTCTATCAGTGTCCAGCAGAGCACTGGTTATTCTTGTAGTTTTCAAATTCCCCTGATTGTCCTTTGAGGCTGCATAACCCCTGACTCTCTGTCAAGGCTGTGGATAAGGGGATACCACCAGTCTTCCTGTATAGGGCCCAGGCCAGTAGGAGGGCTCAGGTAACTGGGTGAATCAGATGTGGGCAGAAAGGGTGAGCAGCACGGCGGGGGGGGCAATTATTGAAACCAACTCCCTGGCTTCCTCTGCAGCAGCTGAAAACTGGCTTCTTCTCCTCTCCCCCTCTTCACTGGCTTTCAGCTGCTGCACAGAGAGACATACAGGGGATTGGTTCTGTCAGGAATGGACTGGCCAGCAATGGTGGGACTCACCTGCCTTTTGATCTGCAGTACCAGGGCTGGCCAGCGGATGCTCCCAGCAATCAGAGACTCAACTTTGCAGCCAGCTAACACCTGGAACTGATTATGCTGGGGTATTTAAGGGATGGCCAGACCCACAGACTCTGCCTTGGTGTTGTGTTTGTCCTGGGCCCTGTATCCTGTTTCTGAACCGCTGCTGACTTCTCCTGCTCTGATCCCGGCTCGCTCCTGACCATCCCTCTGCCTGACCCTCTGTACCACGCTGCTTGCTACCTGTTCTGATCCCTGGCTTGTGACCCTGACCATCCCTCTGCCTGACCCTCTGTACTACGCTGCTTGCTACCTGCTGAACCTAGCCTGTGTGCCCGACCAATCTCCGCTTGCTCCCCCTGTACCTACCTGCCCTATTGATATTGACCCAGCCTGCCTGACGACGCTTGCTTGTATGTACTGTTATCTGTGGGTGGTTGGTTTGGTTTGGTTTGGTTGCACTGTATTATGTTTTAGTATTGCACTGCGTTTATGTTTGTATTGTTAGTGTTAATAAATTATATTGTTTATAACATATCTGAGGTCTGCATTTCCCTGCATCAGCCACACACCTCTGGTCACACCTGGGAGCCCTGACAGGTTCCAGTAATTTACCAGCCCCTCCCTTTTCTGAATGAACACAATGAGTGATTGCTACCGATCACTCACTGTGTTATTTCATAACTGAAGCATAGTAAACTGTTGGGTTTTTCTTGTGGGGATGGGGAGGCCATGTCAGGTTGGCTGTAAGGGGCCCCATGGTTTCTAACAGTAGCCCTGCCCTTTGTCTGGACAGTGCTGATTGGCCCTGTGCTGATCACATGCACTCTCCCCCAAAAAAAAAAACTCTTTAGCAATAAACACCAAACTGAGCATGTGCAGCTTGCTCCCAAGGCTCTGTTCTATCAGCAGATGGATTGGGGACAGTAGAATAAGGGGAGGATCAGAGAAGGCAGGATCAAACAGCCTTTTTACTCAATGCAGAGGATTAACCCCTTAGGTTCCACAGTGAGTATAACAAGCATGCTTTACTGCATATATAGACTGATTTTACTTTTGTGGGTTTAGTAACACATTAAGCTGGCCATACATGGCTCAAATTTCTGTTGAATGGGCTGAGATTCTAACTGTGGGTGGATCTGTCAGCAAAAGTCAATTTAAAAATCGACTGAGCCACACAGAAAATTACTGACCGAACGGAGACTGCATCCTGTCAGATGGCAGTCACTGTTTTGGTATTGAGGCAGGACCGGGAGCACCAGCTGCTTGAATACAATAGTAAATGAGACCCTAACCAGAAAAACTAATGGGGCTTTAAAGGTACCAAACCATATAAATCAACATCAATTGTATAAAAAAAATATATGAACAAATCATAAAAAATTTAACATCTTTTATTGGGTTAAAAAAAACCACAAGCAGGTGGTGAAACGCGTTGGAAATGATCAACAAAGTACCAACTCATGGTTTTAGGCTGAAGTTATTCACCGATATGTCAACTGCTACCTATGATGTGACACCAATGTCCTAGGTGTCAGCAACCACTCATAATCAAGTCTTCATGTCTCTAGGCTGTAGCTGTTAATGATTGGTAACGGATACCCATGACGTTTTTCCTACATCTTGGACATTCAGTGGCAATTATTGTAGCTGGGCCACTGATTGTAGCTCCGTTCATTTGAATTTTATCAATTTCTATTAATGTATTTGGTCATGTTCCACCTGCTGGTGGTTTTTTAACCCAGTAAAGGGTGTTCAAGTTTTTATGATTTCTCCATATTTTTTTTGTACTATTGATGTTGATTTATTTGGTACCTTTAACCATTTCCAGTCCGGACACTTTTACCCCCTTCCTGCCCAGGCCAATTTTCAGCTTTCAGCGCTATCACACTTTGAATGACAATTGTGCAGTCATGCAACACTGTACCCATATGAATTTTTTAGCATTTTTGTGAGACAGATAAAACTTTATTTTGGTAGTATTTAGTCACCACTGGGATTTTTTTTTTTGCTATATATAATGAAAAAGTCCAAACATTTTGAAAAAAGTGTTTATCTTATAAGATTTTGCAAATAAATAATCTGTCTTCATAAATCTTGGCCAAAATGTATTCAATTATCTTTTTAGTAAAACAATAAATAAATCAAATTTAGTTTATAACCAAAAATTATAATTTTTCTAAATTTTTTTACATTTCTATTTTTTTTTTTTTTTATATTATTATTTGTTTTGTTTTTTTCATACTGTCACCCTAGCAGTACATTGTCACCATAGTGACACTGTACTACTTGTGGGGGGGTGATGAAGATTTGTTTTTTTTTTTTTTTACGCTAATTACTTTTACACTCATAAAGGCTATAAAAGCAATCATATCTCCTTCTCTCTGGCTGCATTCTTGCAGCCATTGAGAACTACTTTCTGAGCTGTGATTGGTCACAGCTAGTCACATGGTACCAGGCTGTTGTGAATAGCCTTGTACCATGTGACCTCTGTGATCATTTACAGATTTCACACATAGTAAGCAATGGTGTCAGAAGTGACATCTTGCTTACTACTCTTCATGTGATCACTGATTGGCCAATCAGTGATCACATGATCAGGACCTCACACAGATGTCTCGTACAACGATCGGTGTTCTGCTCTGTCTGGAGGACACAGTGGACACCGGATCGCGGTGCTGCGCTGCTCCCAGGGAGCGCGCACAAGCAGGGTGCGGGGAGGCCGTTTATAAACAGAAACCCTCCCCTGCACTGCTCCTGTCCGCCTGTTTATGTACATGGGCCAGACGGGAAGTGGTTAAAGCCCCATTCGTTTTTCTGGTTAGGGTCTCATTTACTACATTTCCTAATAGGGGTGTGGTACCAGTAAATCATTTTTGTCTCCATCTCCCACTCCATGTATATCTAATGCTTGAGTACAATAGCCGGCATGGGGGATTCCTCCATCCATCCATCCATCCATCCAAGATTTTTAGTGTTGATGGTGGAATTGAAAGATTTGAAAATAAAATGTGTATGGCTAGCTTTAGGGGGTTAAAGAATGCTTTGATTAGAGCCAGACCTGCACAATGTGTTGGTACACAGAGACACACCCTGCCACGGTGCCCTCTGGCTCTGGTACAATAAACACAGGATAATGGGACAAAACGTTTATGTATTGAAGAATGCCAGGCTTCACTGGACTGGTTCTATCATTGTACATCCTGAACATGAGCCGATCATAACCTCGCTTTAAAACTGACAGTTGTGTTTAGAAGTTTGCACCCCCTTGGAGAATTTTGTTTCATTTGTACCATTTTTGAAGAAAACATGAGTGAGCAGACAAAACATTTCTTTTATTTCTTATGAGACTCATATTCAACTGTAGGTCATAACAGAAAAGCACAATCCTAAAACAAAACGTGGCAACAAGTGAACGCATGAAATGACCCCTTTTATAAAGTCTGCATACCCTTAGTTCTTAAAGTGTTACTAAACCCACAACAGTACAATCAGTCTGTAGATGCAGTAAAGCATGCTTGTTATACTCACTGTGGAACCCAAGGGGTTAATCCTGTGTAAAAAGGCTGTTTGATCCTGACTTCTCTGATCCTCCCCTTCTTCAAGTGTCCCCCTCTTATCTCCTGATAAGACATATGTTGTGGAGTCGCTCTGCACATGTTCAGTTTGGTGTGTATTGCTAGAGAGTTTTTCATTTCTTGGGAGAGTGCATGTGATCAGCACAGGGCCATATCAGCACTGTCCAGAGAGAGGTCAGGGGTTCTGCATCCTCCTAGAGCAGAAAGAGAACACCTCCTACAAGCTTTAACCAATGCTCTGCTGGACACTGATAGAAGTCACAAGACTGCTCTAACTGCTGATGAGAAAATGTATTTAGCAGTTTATATTCACTAAAATAATTGCATTTCCATGTTCTGTGTACTGTGGGAGACCAGATATAGTGAATGCAGGGTCCTGGGAGACCAGATATAGTGAATGCGGGGTCCTGGGAGACCAGATATAGTGAATGCGGGGTCCGGGGAGAGTGGATATAGTGTCTGCAGGGTCCTGTGATACCAGATATAGTGAATGCAGGGTCCGAGGAGACACCAGATAAAGTGAATGCAGGGTCCGGGGAGACCAGATATAGTGAATGCAGGGTCCGAGGAGACCGGATATAGTGAATGCAGGGTCCGGGGAGACCAGATATAGTGAATGCAGGGTCCTGGGAGACCAGATATAGTGGATGCAGGGTCCAGGGAGACCTGATATAGTGAATACAGGGTCCGGGGAGACCAGATATAGTAGATGCAGGGTCCAGAGAGACCAGATATAGTGAATGCAGGGTCCGGGGAGACCAGATATAGTGAATGCAGGGTCCGGGGAGGCCAGATATAGTGAATGCAGGGTCCAGGGAGACCAGATATAGTGAATGCAGGGTCCAGGGAGACCAGATATAGTGGATGCAGGGTCCGGGAGACCAGATATAGTGGATGCAGGGTCCAGGGAGATCAGATATAGTGGATGCAGGGTGCGGGGAGACCAGATATAGTGGATGCAGGGTGCGGGGAGACCAGATATAGTGAATGCAGGGTCCAGGGAGACCAGATATAGTGGATGCAGGGTCCGGGGAGAGCAGATATAGTGAATGCAGGGTCCGGGAGACCAGATATAGTGGATGCAGGGTCCAGGGAGATCAGATATAGTGGATGCAGGGTGCGGAGACCAGATATAGTGGATGCAGGGTGCGGGGAGACCAGATATAGTGGATGCAGGGTGCGGGGAGACCGATGTAGTGAGTGCAGGGTCCTGGGTTAGTAACACTTTAATACTCTGTATTGCTCCCTTTGACATCAATGATAGCTTGAAATCTTTTGTAATAGTTGTCTATGAGTTATCTAGAGTTGGAAGAAAAAGTATGTGAACCCCTTGGGATTACGTGGAGTTTTTTGCATGAATTGGGCATAAAGTGTGCTCTGAACGTCATCTAAGTCACAACAATAGAAGAACAGTCTGCTGAACATAATACTACACAAACATTAGATGTTGCCATGGTTTAATTGCACATAACATGTAAACATTCACAGTGCAGGGAGGAAAAAGTATGTGAGGCCCTAGCTTAATGACTTCTCCCAGAGCTAAAGAAGAATCCCAGAGTGTCAGCTAAAGACCTACAGAAATCTCTGGCACATGATAACATTTTTGTTCTTCTATTGTTGTGTAGATGACGTTCAGAGCACACATTTTATGCCCAATTCATGCAAAACTCCACATAATCCCAAGGGGTTCACATACTTTTTCTTGCAACTGTATAGCTGCCCATTCATCTTGGCAAGATGCCTTCAGGTCCTACAGTCTTTGGTCATCTTCCAGCTAATCAATGATTGTTGACAGGGGCAGACTGACAACTCTTGGGGCCCCAGGGAATTAGGGGATCATGGGGCCCCTGTGTCCTTGCCCAAACTGAAAAAGCCTACAAAAAAGGTACCAGGGAAATCTCATGGGCCCCCTACTGACCCCGGGCCCTCGGGCAGTGCCCGAGTTTCCAAATGGTCAGTCCACCCCTGATTGTAGAGTACTGTACTCTCCTCAAATGCTAATCTATGGGACTCATGGGAGGCAATTGCTCATGAGACTAATGTAGGCCATAGACGGTTCGTTTATTGGATGATTTTTCGTCCGAAAAATGAAACATCGTTCGTTCTGTAAACCGAGGTTGCCACCAATGATTGCGAAAATCGGCTGTTTTTCACAAATTTTCCAGCATGACTGATAAATTAAATCAGGAGGAACTGCGAAAATCAGCTGATGCCATTGCCCCACTAACAGTGCGAAAATCGGACGATTATTCTTTCGGCTGATAAACGAACCGTCTATGGCCCGCATAACTTATCCTATCTCAGCAGTCATTAGGTAGGATTGCTAAATTTTCATTGCTTGATATGTAGTAGGAGAAGCTACAAATCTCTTTGTGTAGTATAATCCACACAATCTGGAAGAACAAGTGTGTAGATGTCGTATCCAAAATGACATTCAGAAAATACCACACTGATTATGTACATTGTCTGAAAAGAAATTAGATTCCCATTAAGGGACTGTTACACAACGTTGTTTTGTAACTAGATAATGAGATCAGCCAGGCTGTCAATGTAGTGGATGATTGTGCAATGTCCTGCGTTTTGTACAGGAATAATAATATTGCGGCCGAGCCCAAATACCAACGATGTGTTACCACGAAGAGTGAGATGTCTCTGCAATACCCTCAGGCCCCGATCATATCTCGTGATTTGGGATTGGAATTCTGCCTGGGATCGCAAATTGCAGCACAATGCACAACATGCTCTTGACTACCACTTTCCCTCCACCTTATAGTAGAAGAATTGCTACAGGGAGGCAGGGCTGCACAAAATCATGTGTATATATATGTATATATATGTGATTTGCATCCCTGGGTAGGGGGCGCGCATGCGCCTGCCGCCCTACCCGCGCTGCTGTTGGCGGCAAGAGATGTCAATCATCGGGTCCCGGATGGCGATTCCCGGCCGGCACTTGGCGATCGTTGGGGAAAGCTGACAGGGGAGAGACCGGTGTGTAAACAACACCAGTCTCTCTCCTGTCAGCATAGACATACTGCTTTGTATCTCTCTGCACAGCATGTCTCCCTAGTTAAACACAACACAGCACACCACACAGTTAACCCTTTGATCGCCCCAGAAGTTAACTCCTTCCTGCCCAGTGTTATTAGTACAGTGTCAGTGCTTTTTATTAGCACTAATCACTGTATTGATGTCACTGGGGATGTCCCCCCCAGTGTCAGAATGTCCGCCACAGTCCCCTGTAAGTCGCTGATCGCCTCCATTACTAGTATAAAAAGAAAAAATTCAAGTATATATTCGACCAGTTCAGTAGGAATTGGATGAATTTCGATTTGTATTTGTACGATCTCTGTTCCACTGAAGCCGATCATTAGACCAGCTTCTGTTGAATTATCCTGCTGGCAAACCAGCTTTCCATCAGACGCTGCAGCCAATAGACGTGTGTTATTCGTTTTGTTCCAAATTGAAAAAATTTGGACAAATTTTTCAATATTCAGAAATTTGGTTGTATCCAAATGTAAACAAATCCTCTGAAATATCGAGACAAAATTAAACTGAAAAAATGAAATTTGAATCAAAATTCAAATTCGATTGGAATCAAATATGAAATGTAAACATATTGCAATTCTTAGAAGTGAAAAATTTGGCAGCCACATTTGAATTGAAAAAAAAATCTGAATTTGATTGCCAAATTTCCAAATTCTGAAACTTTTAATCAAATTCTAAAACGAACAAGTCTAGACTCACACCTATGCATTTTCCACTGTGTTTTGCGGAAATGCACAGCAGTCCATTTAACGTGATTTCCTATGGGACGCATTCACATCTTCGCATTTTCACCCGGTGCATTTTTTTGTAAAGGGTCAGTGACTTTTTTAAACACAAAACGTTGTGTTTTTGGTTCTATAGACTTCAGTGGAGATGCTGCAGAAAAGCATGTAGTGCATTTTTTTGGTGCGTTTTTTGATGTGTTTTTGATGTGTTTTGCATTTTAGTCTGCCCAACAACAAATTAAAAAAAACCACAAAACACATCAAAAACACATCAATAACGCATCAAAAACGCAATTGCAAAAATGTAAAATGCACTGCAGAAATGGATCAAACGCAAACTGCATAGGTGTGAACCTTGCCTAAATGAAACAAAACGAAATAAATTTGAAAATGAATTTAACTAAACAAAATTAGTCCATTAATGAATTGTGTTCTGCACATGTCTTCCAGCCAATGACTGTAGTGCTGATCAGTGTATTCTGATTGAGGGGGGTGGGGGTGGTGGAGTCCCCTTTGTCAGAGTAAAGTATTGCAACGAGGGAGATTCGTGCTTCCACATTGGATGCAGGAATCTGTGTGTTTTTTTTAAATTCAACCTGCTGGTTGTATGAAAATATAAAAACTCACAGTGTATACGCAGCTTAAGATCTCATGCACTGGGTCGCACAGCGTGCATTAGAAGAGTAGATGTATGCAGTTCGCATGTCTGATGTATGCTCCAAAATCATACTGTCTGGATAAAATCCAATGGCTTTCCAAAAGTGTGTGTTTTGCATGAAAAATGTTCATCGATAAATGTGTTTTAATTGTTTTAGCCTTCAGAATTCATAACGAAATAAATGAGCAATTTTGTTTTCATGGGTTGCTGTATTGGACATTGCTTGGCAGGAGCACAGAGTCCCACTGCTGTGATTTTCCAGATGTCAGAAGAGTGGGATCCCCTAAGGCACGGGTGTCAAATTGGTGGCCCTCCAGCTGTTGCCAACTACAAGTCCAATGGGGCATTGCAAGATTGACAGTTACAAGCATGACTCCCAAAGGCAGGGGCATGATGGGACTTCTAGTTTCTCAACAGCTGGAGGGCCACCAGTTTGACACCCTTGCCCTAAGGCAATCTCTTCAATATACACTCATCTGAGCTTCCTCCGGTGTTACATATAGTGAGTGCTGCACATCCATTTTACTTGGAGGTAGAGATGAGGGGTTTTGACATCAAGATCTCCACCTCATCCAATCAGAGGTTACCTTGTGTTCATTGAAAAATGTACAAGGCGTTCTGTGAATGGTGGCAGTGCCAGGCAAGTGACCCACTGTGGTCAGTGTGCAGCAGCACAGTATCTGGAAGAATGCAGCAATCACTGCAGTAGCTTCTGAAGGCAATTGGTTCCACTAGATTTTAGTTAGGCGTATCAGAGTAAAGGGGGCTGAATACAAATGCACGCCACACTTTTCAGATATGCCCTCACCACAGCTGGTTTCACTGGCCATCTTCTCTCCCTGGCACCGGCATCTTCAGTGTGGGCTGTGACAACTTGTAGCTTCACAGTCGGGTGCCCACTGCGCATGCGCGACAAGCGCTGTGCTTTGTGAATGGCCCCATAGTCTTCTGGGACCTGTCACGTGTCCCCCAATATTATGGGGAGGGAGGGGGGAGGACAACTTCCACTTCCGATGACCTTGGTGATCGCAGCGGAAGTGGGAGCGGGTACCTGTCAGATTCGGATACCCACTCCCCCCCCTTTTTGGGTGAGCTCCGCTTTAAACTAACTGGAGGAAAGTTCAAAACGAATCTCAGAAAGTAATATTTTACTGAAAGAGTAGTTAATGCTTGGAATACACTGTCAGCAGAAGTAGTGAACCAGTTGTTAGGGATCCGGGTATGACCAGAAATGTGTGGGAACACAGGCGTAGTCAGGGCTGGAGAGGTGGAATGGTCAGGCAGGCCGTTAGGTACTGTACAGGGCGCAGGGTCTAAGTCCCAATCTGCTTATTCACCAGGGCCCCTGATGGTGGGAATGGACTTGGAGCAGACTGAGACCAGGTCGGACCCCTGAGTACGTCCGGCAATGGTA